GAGTCCCGCTCCCCAGGAACCACGCAGGGCAGAGAGAAGGCACGTGAGCCAGCAGCCGCTCCAGTCATTCCCGGCTTGTTTTTCACAGGCCCTCAGAGGAGGAGGGAAGTCTCTCCTTGGCCAAGGGAGCACCTGGTTACAGACAACATCCTGGTAACCATCACCAGGGACTGGGAGTACTTCTGGGAACAGCAGGAGGCAGCAGGCGGGGGCAGATGCTCCACAGCTATATTTATAGGTCTGGATTTAGCACAGGACCTTGAGACGAGGGACCAAGTTCCCAAGTTTTCAGTATGCTCGTCCCTCTGGCAACTTTGTGCAACAGATATTTTTCAGGAGCTCAGAGAGGTTAGATAAATTGCTCAAAGTCACACAGTTAGGATATTTAGAACCAGAGCAGGATCCAGGTCTGCTGGCTCTAAGGTCAAGGGTTTTCCACTGTAGCATCGGTAGCATGGCACCCCAAAAGCCCTGTGCCAGCCACTCCCCGGATGTGAGAACCCAGGCAGGAATGCCAAGTGCCACCTGACTGCACTGTGGCTGTTTTCATGTGGGTCGGCCCCTGTGGTCTTAGCTGAGTGGCTCTTCTGCCTTCCCATGCCAAACCCCCCAGCCAGGGAGCAGCTGGTGTCTTGGGCACGGAGAGCCCATGAGCGGGTGATACTCCACACAGCAACTGGCACGTGAGATCACGGACCAAAGACAACTGACTTCAGCTTGAGGGGCTGGGGTGGGGTCCTGGAGGTCGGGGAGGGTCTCCGGGGAGGGACAAGGGGTGGCCAGAGCACTGGGGGCCTTGGGGGAGCTCAGGACGGTGACTACTTACCAACCAGAATGGAAGCCTTTCAATATTTACATAATTCTGGCACATTCTGGCTGCATATCAGCCTCGTGCAAAAGGATCCTTGTGTTTTCCCTCTTCTCAGAGGTAGAAGACTTGGAAGTTCCTCTCTGTCCCCGACTCCCTTGCATTATGGACTGAGCCCTTTAGCGCCAGGCAATGCTAGACACTGAAGACATTAAGATCCGGATCCCTCCCTCCCCGGGAGCTCCTGTGCCGCTTTATTAAGAGAGATTCTCTCAGGACTCTGGCCCCAATCCTAGGCTGCAGAGGCGTGAGGTTGGCTCTGGTCAAGGCCAGCATGCCCGGAGGGCCTGGGACCCGTGTCACGTGGCACGGCATGGGGGCCAGGGCAGATGCCTTGTGTACACCGGGCACTCGGGCCGGCTCGAGACTCAGGCCCCCATTGTCCCGTTCTGGCCTCACAGCGGCAAATACATCCATGAGCTGTTGGGGCTGCAGCGGCTTCACACACGGAGGGTGGAGGAAACCGCGGCCGCCCCGGGGCAGGTGTGCGGAAGGCCCCCAACTTCTGCACGAGGACCGACTTTCTCTTCCTCAGGGTTCCCAAACTCAGGTGAACACAGAATCGCTCTAGAGGGTTAACAGTTAGGGATTTATTTTAATTTGAAATGGAGAAAAACAACAAACCTATCAAACTAGGGATTTCACGGCCCTCTCCATGGCAGGCCCTGTGGAGGGATGCTGGGCCCCAGGGCTGGGGGCAGGGGCTCCAGCCTTGTTCCAGATTTAGGTCACTCCACGCTGAACTCAACCCCCTGGGGAAGGAGCTGGAGTCATAACCCACCAAGACTGCCACAAGGAGAGAGATTCCCCCTAAAAGAGAGATCTGAATGTTGCTTTCAAAAGAAGGGCAGCATATAGCCCGACAGACAGACAACAGCAAATGTCCCCACTAGGTGAGGTGGGAGGAGGGTGGGGCTGTGGAAGGAGCACGGACCCCAGGCCTGGGAGACCTGAGTTAAGCCCCAGCTCTGGCACATCCGGCTCCGTACCTGCGGACATCCCCACTTAAACCCCACACTGACTTCCAGCTGCTCCTAGGAAAAAGCTCCAAACCCTTTCAAGGCTCCGTGTGGTCTGTCCGCAGACCCATTGCCTGGCCCTCAGCCATCCCTGCTCTCTGCAAAGCTCTTCTGCCCCGCTTCCCCTCTTTTGCGTAGTCAATGCCTCCTCAGCCTGCAGACCCCACTCAAAGGCCTCACCTGCCTGAGGAAGGCATCTGTGTTAGTCAGGGCTCTCCAGAGAAACCAAGTGTCTGTATCTATATCTGCATCTGTATCTGTATCTGCATCTGTATCTATCTATCTATTGAGAGAGAGATTTTAAGGAATTGGCTCACATGATTGTCGGGGCTGGCAAGTCCCAAATTCATAGGGCGGGCCAGCAGACTAGAAATGCAGGTAAGAGTTCATGCTGCAGTCCTGAGTCTGAAATCCATAGGGTAGCAGGTTGGAAACTCAAGCGAGGTTTCTATGTTGCAGTCTTGAGGCAGAATTCCTTTTTCTTCTGAAACCTCAGCCTTTGCTCTCAAAGCCTTCAACTGATAGGATGAGGCCCACCCACATTATGATGGGTTATCTGCTTTACTTAAAATCCACTAATTGTAAATGTTAATCACATCTAAAAAACATCTTCACAGCAACATCTAGGCTGGTATTTGACCAAACAACTGAGTACCATAGCTTAGCCAAGCTGACACATACAGCTCACCATGACACTTTCCCTGACCGCTGGGGAAGACCAGCCCCCCTTCCCTCCCCCACGGCCTTCTTACACACTGTTCTTGGACTGTAGATCTCTCCTTCACAGAACTATGACACTTTCTAACATCACCTGCTTAGTCTCGCTGTTCTCGAGATTTTCCATCGTGTGCCTAAGGTGCAAATTTGTGTTGTTTATTCGTCTCAGGACTCTGGGTACTTATTCAATCTGAAGATTCAGGTTTTTGTTCAATTTTCATCAATCCCCAGCCATTATCTCTTCAAATATTCCTCCTCCCACATTCTCTCTCTATTCTCCTGGATATGCTACCAAGACAAGCTAGATCTTCTCATTTTTTTTTTTCCTCTATGCCTCTTAGCCATGGTTGCTTCTGTATTTTTCCATGTTTTTCTTCTCTTTTTCTCACTGTGCTACTGGTAGAGTGATTTTCTTCAGAGGTATCACCCAACTTGCTTCATGTCTCTTCAGCTGTGTCTTATTCTGCTGTCCAACCTATCTATTTTAATAATTTATTAAAACTGTATTTTTCATTTCTAGAACTTCTATTGGTCTTGCTTTCCATCAATTTTTTCATATTATCCTATTCTTTATTATTTCTTTTCTTTTAAAAAATTCTTTATAATCACTTAAAATGTTTATTTTATGTCTTCAATTTTTCTATTATTTCCACTTCTTAGGGGGTGAATTCTTCTGTATTTTTTTGTCTTGTTTTGTATTACTTAATTTCTCTTTTAGTGGTTTGTTTCCCTGGTTTATAGTTTTGGGTTGGGAACTCATCTTCTGTGGGGGTTGTTTTTGCTGTGGGAGGTCTGTGAGCACCGAGTTGTGAAAACGTTCCTACAGAACACTTTGGGTTTTCCTTCTGTCAGGGCCCTAAGTTCTGGACTAACTTTTATGTTAACTTTTTGGCAGAGGAGTCCTAGAATCAGTGGCACGCCAAGGGAGCGGGATGCGGTGGGAGCAGCCCAGCTCTCTCCTCCATGTGGGGCAGGGCTGGACCTTCCCTCTTTCATGGGAACTTTGCTCCCAGCCAAGCCCAGGATGGTGAGAGAGTTTTGTTGCTCCTTCTGCAGGCCTGGTTGGTAGAGTTTTTCTAGCCTCCTTCTTCCCTGACTAGGCCTCTCTTTAAAGCTCCAAGCCTTAAAAGGATAGGTTCAGAGGGATGAATTCCAGCTCTCCTGCCTCAGACAGCCTGGGGCTGCCTCCTATTTTGAAAGGGGCTGACAACTCTAGGCTCCCAGCCTGAGGGCCTTTATCTAGTCAAAACTCCATGAATCATAGGCTTAGTTCTCACTCCTCATTCCGGCTTTGAGTTCTTGCACTATCTCTGGAATCCGAGGATTTTCCTTTCTCTCTTTCGAGCTCAGCTGTGTATTTTCAAGCATATTTTAAATATTTTATGCAGCATTTCTATATGGTAGCCAGAGAGGAACTGTCTGAAATAGCTCAATCTGGCATGTGGCCCAAAGTGTTCTGATACATTGATTATGTATTATCCAAGTAATGTTCCTCTTCCCCACTAGACTGTAAACTCCATGAGGCACGAACTGTGTTGGTCTTTGCTTCCAAAAAAGGACTGAGCATATGGTGGGAGCTCAATAAATATTTCTGGATGAATGGATGAGGATACTCTCTCTGGGGACATCAGTACCTAATTCACAGGGCGTTGGGGAAACTTAGCAAGAGAAGGAATGTCAAAGGCTTGGTAAACGCTGGGAGCTCAGAAACGGTGTCTGTTATGATAATCATGTCTATTAAGGCAAAGGCTTTACCATGATGGTCTCCCTGTAATTCAGCTCCCTCCCTGCATCTCGGACATTAGTCCTGGCCTAGGATGGCAGACAGGTTCTGTGGGTACGGCCTCCTGACGCTCCCTCAGAGTGAAAAGGTTAGCCCTTCCACCAGAACAGCCATGACATCAGGGTCTTCACCTGAGCCGCAAGGCCTGAACAGGAACCACCACCCTCCCATTGGTCCTGTCCTGTCCAGGGGCCCCTGACCTTGCCATTACCAGTGATCTCTTGTATGGCTAGGATTTTTCTCTAAATATCTCATATTTGAGAGGTTCGTTGAGGAAAAATACACTTAGTAAGTAATCGTTGATTTATTTTTGCATTTTAATTAATCAAAGGCATTCAACTGCCAGGGCTTCCAGTCAGCATGAGGTAAGACAATTTTAGCCCAAAGCAAGGAAACATAACATGTTAATCAGGCTGTGCGGCTTTTCGGGGGTGAATGCGTTGGGGACCCTCCCCCACTCCTACCCAGGGATTGGAAGACTCCAAAGGAGAAAGTCCTGCTCGGGTTTGGGGGTAGGGGGTACCCAAACGGAACAGCAGTGCCTTGTAAATCAGACCCAAGGGGGACACAAAGGGGCCTCCAAGATGGGACCCAGGGGCAACCTCATAAACATTACAATCCCAAGAAAGTTGGCCATGGTGAGAGGCGAGAGGAGAACTGACCAGGCTTACAATAGGATTTATGGAGCCTCAGGAAAAAGAATTTACAATGTGGGGTGGGGGTAAGTGTGTGTGTGTGTGTGTGTGTGTGTGTATGTCTGTTGTAACATCTCCTTGGGTATGTTGGAAGGTATACTCAACCAATGGGGAACTTTGAGCTATGGACTATAAATAATAATACATATTAAAGACCTATTATGTATCTGTCACCCTATTTAACTTAATGCTACTCCTTAAAACCTGTGAGGTTGGTACCATCCCCCAATTTACAAAAGAGGAAAACGAGTCAGAGGGATCTTAAGTAACTTGGCCAAGGTCATGTAGCTAATAGGTCAAAGGTCAAACTATCTGACTGCCAAACCCAGTCTCCAGCCCCAAGAGGACTGCCTCTCCTGTGCTGAGAAACAAGCTTCCAGTGCTGGTTCCCAGCTTTCGCCACTTGTTGGAACCTCCTGGGGAGCTTAAAAAAATATTGATGCCTGGGTCCTACTGCTAGAGGTTTTTCTTTAATGGGGCATCAAAAGCTCCCCAGGTGATTCTAACACGCAGCCAAGGCTGAGCGCCCCTGGCTTAGTGGGTACCAAGGCCCAGGTCCACCAAGATCATTGGCTGTAAACGTCACCTGGCCTGGCCATCCTCAGGATTAAGATCAAGGCCAGAGAAGCCCAGGGCAGGAGCCCAAACTCGAAGTCCAAGATCTGTAACTGGGGCTGGCCCAGAGCCAAACTGGGAAACAGGCACCGATAACAATAACACGATGACGACAACAACAACAATGGTTAGAACCATACTTTGACAACAATTTATTGTGCTGTACCAGGCACTCCACATGCCTCACCTCACAGCAACGCCCCTCACAGCAATGCTATGAGCTAGTGAATGTCTCCAGTTTACAGACGAGAACAGGGAGGCACTGACAGGTTAACGGTCAGTCCAGGGTCACTCAGCGAGGCTGCAGTGGCCTATGTTCTTGACCCCTGGCTTCTCTACGCCATCTCTCCAATCTGGGGTCACCTTCAACTTTGCACACCCCCAAACCACCTCAGAACCCCCGGTGCCTGATTTGCTGGGTGCCTGCTCTGCACTGGGGCGGGCAATAAGTAAAGGTGGGCTGGGGGGAAGCCTGTCTCCCGCCCCACACTGGACCTCACAGTCTGGTAGGGGAGGTCAGGCGGGGTACCCAGGCTCTTAGAGCAGGCGGAGTGAGCCAGGACCTTGGGCGGGTGAGGGGCACGTGCACCCAGAGGACTTGGGAGGGGGTTGGGGCCACCTCTCAGCCCCCAGCTGATGGAGGTCTCCTAGCCCCAGGGCAGCAAGACTCAAAGGCCCCCCACCAGCCCCTGGGGCCCCCGGCTGGGGCTGGCTCCCTGGGCCCTGTTTCTGCCCCCACTTGGCTCCTGGACAGAGACAGAATAGGAGGTAAGACACTTGGGTTCAAGGCCAGACACCTCAACTCCATGGTCCTCGCTTCCTCACCCATAACACGCCCCCCTGGCAGGTTTGCTGGGAAGACTGAACCAGCCCCTCCAGGCCAGCACCCAGAGGTGGCCTGGCACTGTGTGGACGCCCCCTCACTGGCAGCCATTCCCTGCCCTAACCCTGCACTTCATGCCCGGAGCCGCCATGGCTGATGCGCTGCTTCCTGAGCTCTGGCTTTCCACAGCGAATGGAAACTCTGAGAGGGACCGTGTCTCTTTGTATCTCCCCAGCAACCAGCGAGGGCCTGGCACCGGGCTCCTGGGGACCGCCGGGCGGGCTGAATTGTTCAGGGCTGGCGGCGGGGTTGAGTGACTCACCCCACAGGAGAGGTGCCCACGTTAACCCAGCGACTCCATTCCAGGCAGCGCTTGTTCCCCAGCGCCGGTAAGTCGGTGCTTCTCAGCCCAGGCTGCCCGGGAGGGTCCGCGGGGGAGGGGAGGGCGAGGGAAGAGGACTCTGGAGTCCTGGGGTCCAGGACACACCCCGACCCGCCCAATCAGGGCTGAGGCCCTGGCATCAGCATTTCTGCACAGTCTCTTCATGCCACTGAGGATCTTTTGTGTCAGAAGACCAGAGTGTTTAAAATGCAGATTTCAGGCTGGGCCCCAAACCAGATGGATGAGACCCGGGGGGGATGGGCCCCAGGAGTCCACACCTTCAACCTCTTCCCTGGGGGATCCTTTCCTTTCTCTTATTTTCTTCTTATTACTTTTGCACAGTCAGGCTTAGGAGTGTCTGCTCCTCGGAGGAAAGCAGGGAAGAGGAAGCCGGCTCAGTACCTGCCGTCTGGCCGCCCGAGGCGGGGGAGGTGGCGCAGGCTGGGGCAGCCCGGCCGAGCGAAGGCTCCTTCCGGGGCCGGGCCGGGAAGGGGGGCTGGGAGGTTTCTTGGAGGAGGTAGAGCTGCATTCCTCTCATGCCTTAAGCATGAATTTCTAAGGGTAGAATTTCAAGGGTGGTAAATGGAGAGGGCTGGAGGAGCTTTATTTGTCTATTTATTTATTTCCCCTAATCCGCTTGCAGGGCTAATCAGCTCCCCCCCGGGGCAGCCTCCGACGGGCTTCTCTCACTGCTCAGCCTGGGCTGGAGGGACCCGTGAGGGACGCACACCGTCTCGCAGGGAAGCTGAGCAGAGGAGAGGGAAGCTGTGGGGGTGGCTTTCAGTCCCGGGAGGGCTCCTGGAGTTCCTGCTCCAAGTCCGGGGATCTGACCTGGCTGTCCCTAGGCCTGTGGAGACCCCAGGAATGGGAATGAAAGAGACTGGGGTCCAAATGGCCCCCAGGCCTGACCAATGCATCCCTGGGGGCCAGATACAAGGGGAGCTGCCACAGCTCAGGAGAGCGCAGGACCATCCCTGGAACAGGCTCCAGCTTCTCCATAGCAGCTCTGAGAGGAATATGTGGCCTCTTAGGCCGATCAGCCTGAGCCAAGGCACCTTCCTTAGGTGTGGAGTGTCCTAGTCAACACATGCTCGTGCATTCATTCATTCATTCATTCATTGAACACCTGCTATGTGCCAGGCACTGGGCTGGGCTCTGCAGGTTAGCTGTGAACAAAGCAGCTGAGGCCCTGCTGTCGTGGAGTTTACATACAGGAGGGGGATGGACAACAAAACATAACAAATTAATGTGTAACCTGGTTATCATCCTATAACCCTGTTAGACGTCACATGTAATGGTGTCAGGCGAGAATATGAAGCGAGGTAAGGGGAGAGAGTGCTTGGGATGGAAAGAGGTGAGCTATTTCTGCTCGGAGGTCGGGGAAGCCCTCTGAAGAGAAGACATTGAACAGAGGCCTAAAGGAAGGAAGGAACTGGAACAGGCAGATTTGGGGGGAGGAACAGCAGGTACGGAGGTTCTGAGGCCAGAAGGAACTTGGAGTGTTTGAGGCATAGCAAGGAGGTCAATGTGGTGGCTCCAGTGACGGGAAGAAGGAGAGTGTGGTGGCAGGTGGGGGTGGGGAGGTGGGCAGGGCCGCATCACTGGGGCTCAAGGAGTCCAGGCTTCTTGTCTGTATCTGACAGGAGGCCACGGAGGTTTGGGGCCAAGGAGTGACAAGACCTGGCTTCGGTTTACAAAGATCATTCTGGCTGCTGCCTAGAGAATGGAAGGCTGGCAGGGAGAGCCTACCGGGAGGCCACTGCAGCAGGCCAGGGAGAGAGAGGTGAGAACGGGGGACTAGCTTTGGAGACAGCGAGAAGCAATGGATTTGAAAGCTGCTGATGTGTTTTGAAAATGGAACTGACGGGATTTGACACCAGAATGGAGGTGGGTGTGAGGAATGAGGAGGCAAGGGGGATTCCGAGATTTGCCAACTGAGCATCTAAGTCGATGGAGCTGGTGAGGGGAAGTTACGAATTCTGTTTGGGACATGTGAAGTTTGAGGTGACCATTAGGCACCCTGGTGGAGATGTTGCTGTGCACTTGCAGACGTGAGGCCGTGACTCTGGACTCGGGGTGGGGGTCGGGAGCTGGAGACACGCATTTCCTTGGCTTGGAGATGGAACTGACAGCTGTGGGAGAGATGCGACCCCTGGAGAAACTTAAAATGGAGGGCAAGGGGAGTGAGCACCGAGCCCTGGGCCTCACCATGGAGAGGTCTGGAAGAGGAGGCTGAACCAGCCGGGAGACTCCGAAAGAGGGGCCAGCGAGGTAAGAGTGAAACAGGTGAGTGGGCTGGCCTAACTCAGGTGAACGGTCAGACCCAGGAAGAGGACTCTACTGTGCCAAAAGCTGCCATCAGAGGAAGATAGGGGCTGACTCTGGAATGCTTAGATTGGCAGGTAGGAGGTCCTGGGCGACCTCGACAAGAGAGCTTCAGCAGGGTGGTGGGAACCTGGGCCTGGTAAGAGTGAGTATAGGAGTGAACGGGATGGAAGGAGAAGGAGGCGCCCTGGCCAGCTGATCTGTTTGAGGGATTTCGCTCTACAGGGAACAGAGAAATGGAGCCAGAGAGCTAACTGGTGGGATCTGCAAGGAGACTCCGGATGGCTCCTGCAGAGCAGAGAGACATGGCCCGCAGTGCGAGTCAGGAGGCCGGCCTGTCTTCCCTGAGATTGGAAGGAAAGAGGGAAAAAAGGGTAAATACGTAGATAACTCTAAAGGAAACGGAGGGCTTCTGCCAGTGTTCTTTCTCTGTGGCCTGAAATTTCACCATCGCTGGTTTTGGAAGCCTGACTTGTAGCAACCAAAGAAAACGATCTTACCTAAAGTGCCACCCCCTTATTTCCAGCCAGGAGCACAACGGAGGTGAAGGCTGGTCGAGCAAGGTCCCAAGAGAAAGGATGCACTCTAGTTAGAGCCCCTTTTGCCTAAGGCTGGATCTGCCTGGGCGGGTGTGGTCAGAAAAGCTGGCCTGGCTGGGGCATTGAGTGCAGACCGGACCTCCGCAAACAGTCTGCAGCCTTGTGACCCGGGACTTTACTTACCCACCAGCTGGGGGCTGGTGATGCGGTGTCTTCCCACAGGGCTCCTTGCACCCCTACCTGTGAGGCAGTGAGGGTGATCTTTGCATCCAGGAAAAAGACGTACCAGTTAGGATGCCTCAAGCCAATATAAGTGATGCTTGCTACTCCAAGTGTGCTCTGAACCAGCAGCAGCAGCAACTGGGATCTTGCTAAAAATACAGAATCTCAGGGGCTGGCCCCGTGGCCAAGTGGTTGAGTTCGCGTGCTCCGCTGCAGGCGGCCCAGTGTTTCGTTGGTTTGAATCCTGGGCGCGGACATGGCACTGCTCATCAGACCACGCTGAGGCGGCGTCCCACATGCCACAACTAGAAGAACCCACAACGAAGAATACACAACTATGTACCGGGGGGCTTTGGGGAGAAAAAGGAAAAAATAAAATCTTTTAAAAAAAAAAAAAATACAGAATCTCAGACCTGCTGACTCAGTCTTAGTTTAACAAAATTCCCAGGTGATTCTAATGTGCTAACTTAATCACTAATCTTGAGAACCACTAACTTAAACCGTAAAGATATTTGTTCTGGGAGTTAGATTCCAGGGTAGTTCCAGGGTAGGTTCAGCAGCCCCTGAGGTAATTGATGACTAACCATTATCAGAGGTTTTTTTAATCCTTAGGCTTGTTGCCTCTTGGTTCTAAAATAGCTGCCACAGCTCCTGGAATCTCACACCAATGTGACAAGGTTCAAAGTTGGGAGTGGGTGCAAGACCAAGCTGATATGGGCTAGTTTTGTGACTTCCCTCTTTTTGTCAAGCAGGGGAAAAACTTTCCCAGATCCCTGCAACAAATGTCTCTTTGGTTTTGTCAGGCAAAGACAGGTCACCCGTAGCTGCTAGGGAGTCTAGGAAGGTGAATTTTTGGCTTTTTCTTTGTTCATAGTAGGAAGTAGAAAATGGAGAAGGGAGTTAGAAAGGGCCACTGAGTAGCCAGTCATCAGTGTGAGCCATTAAAGGCCCACATGAAATATAAATGCACGTGTGCCAACTTATCACACTGATTAATTAAAATTATAATTATGTAACGAGCAAAAGCAGGCAAGATCACAGTCTTCCATTAATTTTCTGTTTTTAATTTGATCAATTAATTGGTCATTTTTTTTCTGTTTAATTGATTTGCTTTACATTTGTCCAGATCAAAAATCAAAAGGTTTTCTTTAAAATACAAGCTCTTTGAAGGCAGAAATTCCCGTCTGCTTGTAAACTTTGCGTAGCGTTTTTAGCTCAGTGTGACGAATTCAGTCAAAATATAGGTGAAGAGACTAAGAAATGACCACGTTTCTTAGTGCTCCGCAAACTATAAATGTGCTGTCCCCAGCTGCTCCTGGAAAAGCCCTTAGAATTTTACGTACCCTCTAACACAGAAATTCTACTTCTGGGGATTAATCCTAAGGAAATAACCACGTACACATTTTGGAAGTAATCATCGACAAGCTGCTTATAAAGACTGAGAACAACCTGAATCCCCAGTGACAGGGCGTTGGTTGGATGATACAGCCATGTAATGGGATACTAAACAGCCATAAAAATTGACAGCCTGAGGTGGTATTTGATGGCATGGGAATAGGTTCACAATTTTTTTTTTTTTGAGGAAGATCAGCCCTGAGCTAACATCTGCTGCCAATCCTCCTCTGTTTGCTGAGGAAGACTGGCCCTGAGCTAACATCCGTGCCCATCTTCCTCTACTTTATATGTGGGATGCCTACCACAGCATGGCGTGCCAAGTGGTGCCATGTCTGTACCCGGGATCCAAATCGGGGAACCCCAGGCCACCCAAGCAGAACGTGCGCACTTAACCGCTGCACCACCAGGCCGGCCCGTTCACAATATATTAAGTGAAAAAAGTAGCTTATAAAGCAGCATATAGTATAATCACATTTTAATTTTTAAATTAAATTTAATTAAATTTTTATTGAGGTATAGTTGACATACAATATTATGTTAGTTTCAGGTGTACAACAGAGCGATCAATAGTTATGTACATTACAGAATGATCCCCACAAGTCTAGTAATCATCTGTCACCACACAGTTGTTACAAGATTATTGACTATATTCCCTGTGCTGCACTTTACAACCCTGTGACTTATTTATTTTATAGCTGGAAGTTTGTACCTCTTAGTCCCCTCACTTATTTCACCCCTCCCCTGCCCTTGCAACCACCAGTTTGTTCTTTGTATCTATGAGTTTCTTTCTATTTTATTTTTTTCATTTTTAGATTCCACATATAAGTGAAATTATACAGTGTTTGTCTCTCTCTGTTTGACTTATTTCACTGAGTGTAATACCCTCTAGGTCCACCCAGGTTGTTTCAAAAGGCAAGATTTCATTCTTTTTTATGGCTGAGTAATATTCCATTGTATATATATACATATATATATATATGTATATATATACCACATCTTCTTTGTCCAATCATCCATCAATGGACACTTTTCCATATCTTGGCTATTGCAGATAATGCTGCAGTGAACATAGGGGTGCATGTCTCTTTCCGAATTAGTGTTTTCATTTTCTATGGATAAATACCCAGAAGTGAAATAGCTGCATTGTATGGTAGTTCAATTTCTAGTTTTCTGAGAAATCTCCATACTGTTTTCCATAGTGGCTGCACCAATTTACGTTCCCACCAACAGAGTACAGGGGTTCTCTCTCTTTTCTCCACATCCTTGCCAACACTTGTTATTTGTTGTCTTTTTGATAAGAGCTATTCTGACAGGTGCGAGGTGACATTTTAATTTTTAAAGTATATTTCTGCTAAGAAAAAAAAACACTATAAGGAGACACTACAAAAGTATTGCCTTTCTGGATGGTAGGATTATGTAAGGTTTTGATTTTTCTTTTGACTCCTCTCTGGTAAACGTGTTTTATTTTGCTAAGAGGAGAAAAGAGAGAGTAACTCAGTCCAAACAAGCCAGCCGGTGTTTGTGGAGCTCTGAGGTGGGTCTAGACTCCCCTGTCTCCCATCTCCTCCCTACCCCGGCTAAGCAAGACACCTCCCCTCCCCTCTCAGACTGTTCCTGGAGGCTTCCAGAGACCCCGCCCACTTGGCCATTTTTTTGTTTCGGTGGAAACTCTTAATGTTTCCGTTGTCTGGCTTGATTGAGTGTTCAAATTACTCATCTTAATTAAGTACGGCTGAGGTGTTATTTTGACAGATACTCTCACCCATCAAATTTTCTTCACCTCTTCTTTGTTTTAGAAGCCAAGAATGAAAAGGGTTTAGAGGGAGGGCAGACTGCCAGCCACGCAGTATCTACATCTGAAAGGCAGCCATTCTGCTGGAAGAAATGACAGTCAGGTGGCCCCCGGCTGGCCTGACTTCCCACACAGCCTGTTCCTTAGAGTCTTGAAAGCCAGCAAAACTCTTTCTTTGCAGAAATACTGCCTGGGTTGTAAGGTGAGTCGCATAACGTCCCTTACCTAAGTAGACTGCGGCAGGGGCTGGGGAGGGGTGTGTCACGAGTGGACATTTATTCTCTCCACTAAAGACACGTGCTCCTACTGTGTGCCAGGAGGTTTTGTGGGGAGACAGCAAGTCTAGACAGGCGACCAAGGGCAACCTCTCAGAGGTGGTGGTATTTGAGCTGAGACTTGAATCCAACCATGAGCAAATCTGGGGAACAGGGTGGAGGAAACAAGATGGAGAAAGACTCGTGTGGGAATGAGCTTGGCCACTTCTAGGAAAGGAGGGAAGCCTGGGAGGTCTTTTCCTGGGATAAATTCCCACAAAGGGGTGACAGGACCAAAAGTTACAGACATTTTTATGACTCTTGATATATATATATGTATATATACACATACATATATTTCTGGATTATTTTCCAAAATGACTACATACAAGATCGTGTGTCCAATCGTTAACGATTGTTATCCCGGGGGAGTATGATTCAGAGGTTGACAGGATGGGAAAAGCAACTTTAAAGTCTTCATCTTCTTCATGATTTGAATTTTGTACCAATTATATATCATTTTTTATAATTTAAAGTGACCTAGTGTTTTAGAACATTGGTAATGAGCAGGGTGGTAGATGTCGCATTTTATTATTCTAAATATATATGAACTATATAAACTCCATTGTATGTATGAAATATTTCATACTAAAAACCTGATTTTTATAAAATGCATTAATTTATACACCACCAGGTAGCTCAATGTGGCCGTTTCACCACATGCACCCGAGGATTGATGATTATTACTCTGGAACATGTTTGCTTCTTTATTTGGTTTCAGGTTCTGGTTTGCCCTGAGGCGAGATGTCGCTTTATCCTCTGTAGGTTTCCGTTTTTTGTCAAATGGGAAGAAAGATCTGACCAACCTCTCAATTCCCTAACAGAATAGTGCAGGGAACTAAATAAAATAGTGAATGGGAAGGTGTTCTGCAAGGTTTTGAGTGCAATAGAATAGAACAGAAGAAAGAGAGAATTAGAAGGGATTTTCATCCGGAATGGACTCCGCCTTTCTCCATGCTTCCTGGGCTCCCATTCACCCTGATCTCTCCACTGCTCTTAAACCCAAGGCTGCACGATGTGACACTTGGTCTCCCATGCTGGATGACGACCTCCTCCAGAGGAGGCCCCGTGAGGGCATGATGTCCTACTGGTGGGATTTTAGGCATTCCTGAGTGGGTAGAGGCCAGGAGATGGTTTGGGGAAAAGGGTGGCCTTTCCAGATACTAAAACTACAGAGAATTGGATGTGTTGGGAAGACCTTCCAATTAGGCTTTGGAAGAACTAGGTTCTAGCCTGGGTATTTCAATGACTAGCTCTGAGCACCTTCCTGACTTCAGTTCCGTGAGCCGTGGGGCTCAAGCAGTGGGGCTATGAGATTTGCCCCGCCTGCTTCATTATGGTGTCTTAGGGATTTGGGGAACCAATGTACTTTGTTTTTTATTTTTTGGTGAGGTAGATTGTCACTGAGCTAACATCTATGCCAATCTTCCCCTATTTTGTATGTGGGACACTGTCTCAGCATGGCTTGATAAGCAGTGTGTAGGTCCACACCCAGGATCTGAACCCACAAACCCTGGGAGTGGAGCACGAACTTACCCATTCGGTCACCAGCTGGGCCCCCAGTGTACTTTAAAAAGCTTTGAAAATGGTGAGCTTTGGTGGAAATACCAGGGCCTCTTGCTATTTAATGACATCTTTGTTCCCAGCAGGGTCCCACCAGGGATGCTCACACAGTGCTGCTGACTGAGGCTGGAGGGGAGGGATTCCTCTCCCCGGCTCCAAGGGTCACCGTCAGAGCCTGAACTTTGGCTTTAGGCAGAACTTGGTTTACACCTTGATGTCAACTACATGCAAGTTACTAAACCTGCCTGTGCTCGAAGTCACCTACAGCCACCACCATCCAGTCCTCTCCCCTTCCCGGGACACGGGAGTCTCAGCCCCCTGCAGTTGGGTGGGGCCACGGGACTAGTTCTGGCAAATGAAATGACAGAGGAAGTTCACTTCCTGGCTGAGTAAAAAACTCAAGCACAGGGGCCAGCCTGGTGGCACAGCAGTTAAGTTCCCACATTCCACTTCGGCGGCCCGGGGTTCGCCGGTTCAGATCCAGGGTGCGGATGTGGCACTGCTTGGCAAGCCATGCTGTGGTAGGCATCCCACATATAAAGTAGAGGAAGACGGGCACGGATGTTAGCTCAGGGCCAGTCTTCCTCAGCAAAAAGAGGAGGATTGGCAGCAGTTAGCTCAGGGCTAATCTTCCTCAAAAAAATAAATAAATAAATAAAATAAAAACGAAACTCTGAGCTGTGGGTGCGTTTTTTTTTTTTTTTAAGTAAAGTTTAATGAAATGGTGGTGGTGCTAGGAACAAAAACATGAGCATGAGAGCTCACTAGGGAGGAATAACCTCTCTGGAAAGCACCTTTCCCTGGGCACGGCGGCCGGGTCCATCGGAGGCGAGGTTCCACGTGGGGCTTTCTGCAACCAGGCTGGTACTTTCAGCGGCATCAGGAGAGCGAGTTCTTAAATCCCACAGTGAGGGAGAGGAGAAGTGAAAGCGCCCTCAGAACTTTAAATCAGGGTGGGAGCAGTATTTTCCAGGGCCAGTGACTCAGGATCACTCACCTGGACGTCTTCCCCACCGACATCCCCCCACACTCACATGTACACGCACACACACGCTCATCCAGTTATGGAGGAGAGGGTGGGAGCAACTTGGAAATGCTTTTAGCCTGACCTTTGAAGGCTCGAAGGAAATGCAAGTCCATTTTCAAGGTCTAGGGTGGCGGGGTCCTACTTCAGCCCCTCCCGACCCGCAGGAGCTGTGGCCAGACCAGTCACGAGCGATTCCAGACAGTTTGGGAACATGGATTCCACGCCCAGCACTCCATCTTATGAGAAACAGATGACTCCTTTTTCTGAAATGGCGAGCGCCTCCAGAGACCCATCCCAGCCCTTCTTTGTTCCAAAGCAAACACTTGCCTTGGCTTCTGTTCTCACGCCCGGACGCGCTGTACGGGAGCGGAGCTCCTGAGCCAAGGACCTGAGACTTGAATGGAAGTCAACAAACCTGTACGGAAGCTGGGACCATGGAGAGGCGGGACTGGTTTCGTAACAAACGTTCTAGACTTACACATCCAAATGAGTGTTGTCCCCGTCAAAACAGTCCCCTCGGTAGGCCATCGATTTACTTCAAGGGTGATAATTATAACAAGGTATCAACATTTGTGGAGCATTTGGCAAATGTTAACTTTGGGCTACGAGCTCTATAAGTGTTCCCTATGTGACCCTCACAGCCCCGTTAACAGACGGGGAAACTGAGGTTCAGAGAGATCAAGTCATGGGTCCGAAGCCCTCCACTCCAAGGTTCGAGTGACTTTCAGAACTTGGAACCATCGCCATCCTTTCAGATCCTCACTGATGACGTGAGGATTCACCCTCATTCAGCTTCGATCAGCAGAATCAGAAGCTTCCACGTTCCTTCATTATTTCGCTGGAATCTCACCACAGTGAGGCAAGTGGGTGAGCCCCACAGCTGTCTGGGGGAAGAAGCCGAGAACGCCCAGAGAGGGTAAGGCGCTTGCAGTAAGCGGCACTGTGGTAACTCTGGGGAATGGACTTGACTTTTGGAAACAGCCAAAGCTGTCTGCAGCAAAGTCAACTGAACTAGGTAATGCATCCATCTTGGCAAAATTAGGTGTGTTCAGCATAAATTTACGCAACACTGATCATCTTGTGTGGCTCATAAGCTGGTCATGAAGGCAATTCCAGAAGAGGCATTTCAGGAAAGGTTAGACATTTCTTCTGAGTCTGAACCCAAATCTGCCTCCTTGTAATTTGCTCCTGTGACTCCAATTCGAATCTTGGAGCCACATAGACTTGGCCTCATCATTACCCGTCTCCACAGCCCACCCCATCCTAACGCACTTGGTTCTCTGGTGGCCAACCTGGTAGATTGGAAGCAGCAAATTAGAAAAGATGGACATGCACTTTGGAACCACTTGGGACAATTCTGACCAGTTCCCGGGTTCTACCCCAGGAAAGTCTGACTTTGTTGATCTCGCTTGGGGCCCAGGCATGGTTGTTTTTTTGAAGTTCGTCAGGTGATTTTCGCCAGAGTTGAGAACTGCTGTGTTCAGAGGAGAGGCGACCTTAAATCCAGAGAGGCTGGGTAACTAGCCCAAGGTGTCACAGGAACCAGGTCACAGAGCTGGGCTTTAAGCCACCGTCCACCTGCCCCTCGCTTCCTCTGGACGTGCCCACCCTACTTGACCCAAGTGGGGTTCCCTGAGTGTGGGGCCCCAGCAAGGGCAGCAGGGGAGCAACGTCTCTGCAGCCTGCCCAGTTCTGAAGGTGTCTCTCATCACCCCAGTGACGCTTGATTCCTTCCGACAACCTGGGTGCAGACAATGCTCAGGGACTGCTGGGCGCTGACTCTGCTTAGCCCCCACGTGAGGACATGGCCCTGGTGATCTGGAATCGGGTCCAGAACCACAAGAGGCCCATGTGGGTGAACATTCCTCCTGGCTTGCACTTAGATTGTTAGAAGTACATTCTTCTGGAACCATGACGTAAGCCCTGCTATAATAGAGTAAGAAATTCAACTTTCTGGTAAGATCCTACCTCCCAGGGATTGAGGGAGGTGCCCTTACCCATCTCCTCTGGCATTCCGAGGGCCTGAGGAAGCTTGTAGAGTCATGCTGCCTCTGTTGCCGCCTTGCTTCTGATAAGAATAAGGATTTTGAATCACGGCTAATTTAATTGAATCTAACCTTACAGGGACTGTGTATGTATAAGCGTCAGCACCCACGACCTGTAGCTGGAGACGTGAGGACGGGCGGCCTCCTGGCCCTGGCACTGAGGCTGATGAGGATAACAAGCCTCGAGGAACCCAGGCAGGGCCTGTCTCCAATGGGGCTCCCTGGGGGAGCGTCCACCGACCAGCCAGGCTGGCCTTGGTGCCCCTCTCTGTAGCCCTACATTTCAGCCTCTTCAATTGTCCTTTTTCCTACGCCCAAAGTTCCCCCGCATGCTCTGGCCCCGGCTCTCCATTAGCTTTCAGCTGCTAACGGAGACATTGATCTGGTTGCTACTCCCCTTAGTTTTCCCTTCCCCGGCCATGAAGGAAGAATCCCCACCCTTTTCTCTCAGCTCAAGGACATACTTTACCCAGGAAGCAACCAGAGGGAATTTCAGGCCAAGAACAAGGCACGGTTGTAGTGATGAACTCAGCTGCCTACCATCTATACACGTGAATACAAACGTACTGCTTCCTCAGATGCAAGTTGTGTGGTTCTGTCCTCAAAATGACCTGCGTGATGGTTAATTTTATGGGTCAACTTGACTGGCCACAGGTGCCTAGATATTTTGTCAAACATTATCGGGGGGGTTCTGTGGGGGTGTTTCTGGATGAGATGAGCTCTTAAATCGTTACACTGAGCGAAGCAGATTGCCCTCCCTCATGTCAGTCGGCTTCATCCAATCAGTTGAAGGCCTGAATAGAACAAAAAGGCTGACCCTCCTCTGAGTGGGAGACAATTCTTCCAGCCTGATGGCCTTTGAACTGGGATGTTGGCTTTTTTTCTGCCTGAGACATCAGCTCTTCCTGGGTCTTGAGCCTGCTGGCCTTCGGATTGGAACCGCACATCAGCTCTCCTGGCTCAGACTAGACCTGCTCCATCAGGTCTCCAGCTTACAGACTGACCCTGCAGCTCTTGGGACTTACCTGCCTCCACAATTACGGGAGCCCATCCCTTATAATAAATCTTTTTCTCTCTGCGTATACATCCTATTGGTTCTGTTTCTCTGGAAAACACTGACTAATCACCTTCCTCATAGATGTGGCGAATAGCCCCATTTTGCAGGTGGAGAAAATGTTTCAGAGTCAGGGCCACCACCACCCGCTCAGGGGTGCCCTGCCCTGCCCTCTGGGCAGCACCACCTGGACCTTGCTCACTCCAGCTCTGCTCTCCTCCTGCCCTCCTTTCTCCTTGTGTCTTTCTGCATTCTGCAGCTTGCCTTGTCCAGGTGGAAGCGCCCTCTCCAACCTCTTCCCCCTCTGGACCAGCATGTGCCTAGACCTGGATCTGTGATTTTTCCCTCGTTCTTTCACAGAGAGTCAGGCAAATCGATATTCTTGGGGGAGATAAGCCCACTCCCTGGCCTTTCCTGGGTCTGCAGTCACTGCCTTTTTAAACAGTTGAAAATATTTCAGAACCCACATGATTCCATTTGGTTGTCCAGCCACACCACTGTTTTGGAGAGAAGGCTTTATTCCCTGGAGACTGTGTCTTTCTAATCTCCGTTTCCTTCCCCGCCTCTTTGCACATTCCCTTTCTCCCTCCAGATCATCTCCTTCTGTCTGCGGGTTATTCCCCAAGCAACTTAGGAAAAGGTGTTGGACTCACCCACACATTTTGACCTGCTTGGGTTCCCGAAATGCTTTGCAGCTATCTAGGAGGTAGGTTAGCTGCTTCTTTGCCATACGCTGGGCAGTTTTGGTGTGACAACAAATGTATTCTGACTTTTAGATGCTGGAAAGAAAGGAATAACAAAAGAGAGAAAAGAAAACAAGAACGAAAGCAATAGTAACACCCAACGGCTGTCCCGATGTACACGATGATAGCAATTCTGCAGGGCCAGCTTGCACCTACAGGATCAGCCTGCCTCGGGCCAGTCAGAAGCAGGGGGCACCAACAACCACAACAAGCCGTATACCAACCACAGGATTATATTTACCCAGGTTTTTTTTTCATCCTTAGTATTTGAAAACATTTCAACACATTCACTGTGAATAATTCTTCTTCCTTCTGAGATATACAGAAACAGGTCAGTGAAGTGACTTGCTCAGGATTATGGACCAAGGTGGGACACAAGATCTTTGAGGCCTGGATGATGTCTTCCATGAGGCTTCTCCTCAAGGCTACCACAGGGAACATGGTCCTTAAGCTGTGCCAAAAGAGAGTTAGAGGGAACGTGGAGGAGTGTTTCCAAAAGGCAGGAGTGTGAAAGAGGGACTCGAAGCAAAGGCTTGTGGGAGGACATGCCAAGAGGGCCATGACGTAATGTTCCCAGCGTCCTCCAGCCCTCTAGTTTAAAGGACCATTAACCACAAATTGTCATCTTGGCTATTATTTGCGTCTGTAATAACAGCCATAACAATGGATGCTGCAAAGGTCAACCCCGGGGCTCCTGTTGCCTAATACATGTGGTAAGGTTGGAGGCAGAAATGGGTGGATAAGGTTTGTTGTTGATCCAAACATGTTTCAGTCTGGCCAGGACAGTGGAGGCCTGAGAGAAACTCCTGATGGAGTTAATCTCCTCTGGGTCCCAGGCAAGGACGGCACCTAAAATTTAACTTGAACACCTTCAAGGTAAGGCACGGAGTGAAAGCTTATCTCACCTTCTTTTCTGAGGTGCAGGACTCGGGGTGGCACTCTGAGAGGCTGGGGCCAGCCACAGGGAGTGGGCACTCACTTGGTTCAGGACAGAGGCCCATCTTGGTCACCAGAGCAAGCAGTGCACCAGTGGTGGAGGATCCCTGGGCTCGTGGCCTCCTGAGCAGCTGCTGGGCCCACAGGGGTCTGGGCTGCCCCTTTCTGTCTGGAGGCATCTCAAGTCCCACCTGGCATTGCTGGGGGGATCTCAGCACTTCCCCTTCATCCTACAATGGAAAAAGAGGCTGTGAGGGGTGGAGAGAGCTGCCCAAGGGCACCCAGGGAGATGGAGGCTGAGCCAGGACCAGAAGCTGGGGCCCTTGGCTTCCAGTTGGAGTAGTTCCACTCCACCTGGTCTGCAGGTCACCCCACCCCCACCCAACCAGAGGCAGGTGAAGAGGAGCCCAGCAGCCCCCAGCTGGAGATGGTGGGGATGGGGAGCCTGGAGGCCGCCCAGTTCTCATTTACTCGTTAGCCCAGGCATGCCTTCCAACAAACGCGAATTGACCACTTACTACATCTCATGCACTGGGATGCAGTTACATGTCAGGGATGAGGGCACGGAGTTTAGAGTGAGACTTTGGTCATTTAATCCCTCTGAGCCTTGATTTCCTCATCTGGAAAAGGAGAAACATTAATCCCCGTGCCTAACACATAGAGTGAGTGCTCCATGAAAGGTGGCTTTACAAGATGGGGCCGGGCCCCCAAGAAGTTCGTGGTCTCTCAGTGCAGCCAGATTCATCAAGAGCTGTATATAGACTCGGTGCATGTGAGCACAGGGGTTGAGGAGTGGAGAGGAAGGAATAACGAACGGGGCTGTGCCAGTCATTGCTCTGCCGTTCACCAGCTGGACGACCGTAAGCGGGTTCGTCAGCCCCTCTAGAGGAGCCCGGGTCTGCTTCTTTGTAAAATGGGATCATATCAACAGCACATAAATGCAGGATTATGGATCCGTGAACTGGACGTGACAAATGTGCAGTGCCTGAGTCTCAGTAGGCATCAGTAACATAGTATCATTTTTGATGTGAAGTGAGAGAGATCTTCACAGAAGAGGCGACATTTGAGTTGAGTTTTGACATGGCAGAGCTTTACAGGGAGATGTTAGAATAGCATGGACAAAGGCACGGAGGCGTGGAGAGATGGCACCGTCAGAGAAGAGCAAGCAGCCTGGAGATTCTTTTTTTTTTTTTTTTTTTTTAAGATTGGCACCTAAGCTAACAACTCTTGCCAATCTTTTTTTTTTCTTCCTTCTGCTTTTTCTCCCCAGATCCCCCCGGTACATAGTTGTATATTCTAGTTGTGGGTCCTTCTAGTTGTGGCATGCGGGACGCCACCTCAACGTGGCCTGACGAGCAGTGCCATGTTTGTGCCCAGGATCCGAACCAGCGAAACCCCAGGCAGCTGATGCCGTGCGAACTTAACCACTCAGCCACGGGGCTGGCCCCAGCCTGGAGATTCTGAAGCAGGCAGCCTGTGGGAGACCGGTAGAGAGAAGCAGGCTATAATGCACCTTGTGCCTGACGTAAAGAAATTTGGGGGCCGGCCTAGTGGTGCAGCAGTTAAGTTCGAACGTTCTACTTTGGTGGCCTGGGGTTCGCCCTTTCAGATCCCAGGTGCAGACATGGCACCACTTGGCAAGCCATGCTGTGGTTGGGGTCCCACATATAAAGTAGAAGATGGGAATGGATGTTAGCTCAGGGCCAGTCTTCCTCAGCAAAAAGAGGAGGATTGGTGGCAGATGTTAGCTCAGACCTAATCTTCCTAAAAAAAAAATAAAAGAAAAATAAAAGAAATTTGGGCTTTGGGAAGAGGGTCCTCAGAGATTTTTGAGCTTACATAGGGCAGGATCAATTTGGCATTTATAAGATATGCTTTGTTAGCTCTTTCTTGGCTACTGGTTTTTTGTTTGTTTATTTTGCCAAGAGCCACCTTATGACAGCAATAATACAATAGGGATAAACTCCTGAATATCTGTCAGAACCCTATTGGTTGCAAGTGGCAGAAAACCAAACTCAAACTAGGTGTGGTGGTCAAATATATCCACAAATTCCCTTGATCCTCCTCCCTTCAAGAAGTGGAGCCCGATTCCACTCTCTTGAGCATAGGCTGGACCTTGTAACTCTCTTCGAACAAATAGAGTGAATGGAAGTGACAACATGCACCTCAGAGATAGGTCATAAAAGGCGTGCCCCACTTGCTCTCTCTTGGATAGCTCATTCTGGGGGAAGCAGGCTGCCACGTTGTGAGGATGCTCAATCAGCCTACTGGGAGCCCACATGGCAAGGAGCGGAGGCCTCCTGCCAACAGCCACGTGGGTGAACCACTGTGAAATCACATCTTTCAGCCCAGTCAGGCCTTTGGAATCCTTGCTAACATCCAGACGGAAATCATGTGAGGGATCCTGAGCCCAAACCATCCAATTTAGACCACTCCTAAATCCCTGACCTAAAGAAACCATGAGATAATAAATGCTTGTTCTTTCCCGCCACTGTGTTTTGCAGTAGTTCATTATGCAGCAATAGATAACTAATACAGGAGCTTAAACAGAACAAAACAAAACAAAACAAAAACAGAGAGAATTCATTGGTGCACATAGCTGATCAAAACATGTCGGGGGGCCGGCCCGGTGGCATAGTGGTTAAGTGCACATGTTCCGCTTCAGTGGCCCCAGGGTTCGCCAGTTCAGATCCCAGGTGCGGACATGGCACCGTTTGGCAAGCCATGCTGTGGAGGGCATCCCACATATAAAGCAGAGGAAGATGGGCACAGATGTTAGCTCAGGGCCAGTCTTCTTCAGCAAAAAGAGGATTGGCAGCAGTTAGCTCAGGGCTAATCTTCCTCAAAAAAAAAAAAAAAATGTCACCAGGACTCAGTTGCTCTTCATTTCTTAAAACTGTTTTCCCCTGCACTGGCTTTTTTCCCAGGTTCCATGCTGTGGCTCCTGAAATCTCTAGGTGCATAGTGTCCTTGCTGCTGGGATCTCCAGGGGAAAAGTCTGTGCCCCTCTCTCCTGAGAGTCCCAGCAGGAGTCCCAGAGTGTCATTCATTCTGATTGGGTCCCAGCCCATCCCTAAACCAACTGTTGTGCTCTGATTGGCCAGGTTCATCATTTACCCAGCCCTGGTGGTTAGGGTTTGGGTCAACCCCACCCTCAGCACAGGGCCTCCGGCAGGGGAAGTGCCCCTAGGGGAAATCAAGGTCGAGTTGCCAGGAGGGGAAATGGTTGCTGGGCAGTGAAACAACCAATCTAATATACCCAACTTTGTATTGTGCTTTTCCGTGTGTGTCTCATGTGTGTTGTTCCACATTAGCCACCTGACCTCCTGGCTGTTTCTCGAATGCTTTTGCTTCATCATCTCATTTAGGTCTTAAATGTTACCATGGCCATAAACATTCACTCATTCATCCATCCATTAGTGACTGAGTACCTACTATGTGCCAGACACTGTTCTGTCACAGAGGGTGTAGCAGTGACAGAATGGACAGAAATCCCTGCTCAATGAAGCTTACATTCCAATGGGAGAGACTGATAATAAGATAAATGAGGAAAATAACGTGATAGTGTTAAGGAAAAAAGTTAAGCAGGGAAGGGGAATTGAGAGTATGGGGGTAAAGCCTTCCATGAATACCCCATTTTAAATTAACTTCCCAGGGTCAGCCCAGTGGCGCAGCAGTTAAGTGCACACGTTCTGCTTTGGCGGCCTGGGGTTCTCCGGTTCCGGTCCCAGGTGCAGACATGGCACCACTTGGCAAGCCATGCTGTGGAGGGCGTCCCACATATAGAGTGGAGGAAGATGGGCACAGATGTTAGTTCAGGGCCAGTCTTCCACAGCAAAAAGAGGTGGATTGGCAATGGTTAGCTCAGGGCTGATCTTCCTCAAAAATAAATAAATAAATTAATTAATTAACCTCCCTCTGCTTCTCTGCTGTGATACTGTGATTTATAAGAAGAAATATCTATGTTGGTCTTTGTCTCCATTTCTGGCATAGGGCTCCTCAAACCTTTAGAATTTCTTAAGTGATAAGAGCAATAAAGGTGCCCTGATATTCATAACAAACCCCTTTCAATCACACCTGAGTTTATGTTAACGAGGTGACTTTTGGAGGGCACCTAAGGGTGAGGGCTGGTTGCAGGGGAGCCAACCTAGTGACTGGAGGGTTGGAACTTTCAGTCCCACCCCCCTGACCCCCGGGGATGGGGAGTGGGGTGGAGTAATCTGCTAAATAAAATGTTTCTCTGAGTTTTGTGAGCAGCTCTAGCAAATTAATCAAACCCAAGGAGCAGGTCGCAGGAAGCTCTGGTCTATGGCTAGTCAGTTGTGCACAGGTGACAGCCTAGTCCTGCATTTGGTGTCTAGCGTCTTGTGGGACTGAACCCTTAACCAGCGGCATCTGATGCTATGTCCCGGCAGATGGTGTCAGAACTGAGTTGAATTGTTGGACCCCTGGCTGGTGTCAGAGAATGGCTTGGTGGTGTGGAAAACCCACATTCAGACCCCCATACTCTCAATTCCCCTTCCCTGCTTAACTTTTTTCCTTAACACTATCACGTTATTTTCCTCATTTATCTTATTATCAGTCTCTCCCATTGGAATGTAAGCTTCATTGAGCAGGGATTTCTGTCCATTCTGTCACTGCTACACCCTCTGTGACAGAACAGTGTCTGGCACATAGTAGGTACTCAGTCACTAATGGATGGATGAATGAGTGAATGTTTATGGCCATCCTGTGAAGGAGGTGGGATGAACATGATTCCCCTGTTTATTTAAATTAAATTAAAAATTAAATTATTTATTTATTTTTATTGAGGAAGATTAGCCCTGGGCTAACATCTGCTGCCAATCCTCCTCTTTTTGCTGAGGAAGGCTGGCCCTAGAGCTAACATCCGTGCCCATCTTCCTCTACTTTATATGTGGGACACCTACCACAGCACGGCTTGCCAGGCGGTGCCATGTCTGCACCCAGGATCTCAACCGGCAAACCCCGGGCCGCCGAAGTGGAACGTGAGAACCTACCTGCTGCACCACCAGGCTGGCCCCTGTGCTTGAGTTTTTTACTCAGCCTGGAGGTGAACTTCCTCTGTCATTTCATTTGCCAGAACTAGTCCAGTGCCCCCACCCAACTGCAGGGGGCTGAGACTCCCGTGTCCTGGGAAGGGGAGAGGACTGGATGGGGGTGGCCGTAGGTGACTTCGAGCATAGGCACTGGGCTGGCCCCTCCTTCTGTTTTATAAATAAG